CGACTCCTCCTGCTCCAATGTCCTCAGCCCCTTCTCCCGCACCTGCTTTTCTCTCACCTCGCTCTTTGCCGCGCTCTCCTCTCCGCTCTCCCGCCTTAAACAAGCCCTGTGTCGTGCCCTAACCCACCTCTCCGCCTCGCCTCTCCTCCCTTCATCCCAATCCTGGCCTGGCAGCCTCCTGGGACGTGGCAGCACGGCGGGAGCGGGCGACCAGCCGCCTGGGAATGGCACCTTCCTTCCCTCCTCCCTCCTCGCGCTTCCAGCCTTGCAGTGAAACGAGTGGAAAAAAGAAAGCGAAAGCTTGTCACTCCTGAATATGCACAAAGATAGGTGGGGGAACACCTGCTAAATAACGGGCCCCGGAGAATCGCTCGGGATTATTCTCTACAGGCAAAATCCAACCCTGCGCAGGGGCCGCCGCCGCGGCGGGAGAGCCGCGGGACCCCGCGGGGCCGCAGAGGTGCCTGGGCCGGCCGGTCAGAGTTTGTAAGAGGAATTCCTTGGATGCTTCACCAAAGCTTTTGTAGCATGACCACGTGGATTAGCTGCGATACAAGTCACCTGCCATCATGCTGCACCGTCACGGTCACCGCGAGCCCTCCTGCCCCGGCCCCACCTCGGCTACTGCGTAGTCTCTTTTTTCACGCAGAAATGCTTGGTTTGGGTCCCCGCCGACTCCAGGCCCAGCTGCGAATCCTCCGTGGGCCGCGGGTTGCGGGAGTGGATTTTCTGGTGGCAATTCAGGGACTCTTTGTAGCGGAAGTGCTTCCCGCAGACGGGGCACTGGTAGGGGGTCTCCCCGGTGTGCACCCGCCAGTGCTTGAGCAGGTGATCCCGGCGGATGAAGCTCTTCCCGCACTCCGTGCACTGGTAGGGCCTCTCCCCGGTGTGGATGCGCTGGTGGCGGATGGCTTTGGAGAGGTCTCGGAAGTCCTTCCCGCAGTAGGTGCACGTCAGCGGCCCGTCGCCCTTCCCCGTGTGCAGCTTCTGGTGCAGGATAAGACTCACCTCCAGGCTGAAGCTCTCCTTGCACTGGGAGCAGGTGTAAGGCCTCTCCACCATGTTGTTCACCTGGTGCCTGACGAGGCCGTACTTGATGCCGGAGCCCTTGTCGCCGTCGGGGCGCTTGGACGGTTTGGAGCGGGAGGAGCCCTGGCCCTTGGGCTTGGATTTCTGCCAGAGGCCCTCGCCGCGCTCCAGGGAAGTGCAGGCCTCCTCCCTGGCGTGCGCCTTCTGGTGGGTGGCAAAGAGCTGCTTGTCCAGGAAGCTCTCCCCGCACTCGCAGCAGATGTAGGGCCCCTTTTCCGCGGCTCCTCCCTCGGGGGGATCCTTCTTGGCCAAGTCCCTCCTGCGGCGCACGGAGCGTCTCAGCCCGTTGCCCGCTGCCGTTCGCTGCTGCGGGTCCGACCCGCTCTGGCTCTTGCTGCTCGACTGCATTTCCTCCTCCGGGGCGGAAAAAACCTCTTCCCACTTCCCTGCCAACGCCCTGGGAAGCTCCAGGCTCTCGGGACCCTCCTCGTCGCAGGGCTGTTCGTCTGGCAGGGCAGAGCACTCGTCATTGGCGGAGACAAGCACCGGGTCGTTATTTACACCACAATTCCCCCGGGGCACGGGTGGGCTCTGCAGTGCACACCCAGCTCAGTGCCTGGCACTGCTGTCCTGGGACACAGCCAAGGCCAAAGGGATCACAGAATTGTTAAGGCTGGAAAAGCCCTCGGAGACCATCGAACCCAACTGGTCCCCCAGCACTGCTGGGTCCACCAAACCCTGTCCCCAGGTGCCACATCCACACAGGTTTTAAATCCTTCCAGGGATGGGGACTCCACCACTGCCCTGGGCATCCTGTTCCAGTGCCTGACAATCCTTTGGGGCAAGAAATTTTCCCAAAATCCAACCTGTCCCTCCCCTGGCACAGCCTGAGGCCGTTCCCTCTCCTCCTGTCCCTGTTCCCTGGGAGCAGAGCCCGACCCCCCCCCGGCTCCCCCCTCCTGTCAGGGATTGCAGAGCCAGAAGGTCCCCCCTGAGCCTCCTTTTCTCCAGGCTGAGCCCCCCCAGCTCCCTCAGCTGCTCCAGCCCCTTCCCAGCTCCCTTCCCTTCCCTGCACACGCTCCAGCACCTTCTTGCCCTCAAACATACTATAATATTATATATATAATCTATATATAGCTGGCCAAAGGGAAAAAGGGGCTTCCTCAGCAGGAGGTATGGCAAGACAGGTCTTGTGGTTTAGGATAAAGCCAAAAAAAAAAAAATTGTGGAAAGGGGAGTAAAATCTCTTTTCCTCATGGGATGGGAAGGCCCCCAGTGCCTGAGGCCAAAGGGTCTCCCGTGGTATAGACAGTGACTCAAAGTAACTATCAACACTGAAATTCTGAGCTGAGCTGCTCCCAGGAATGAGAAGCAAAAGCACATCCAGGCAAGGGACACTTGCCAAGGCAGGTCAGTGCACTCACATGTACCAGGGACATCCACGCTCTCCTCTTCCTCAGAGCCCTCGTGGCTCTCAGCCAGAGTCTCCTCGTATTTACCCCACGAGCTCTCGTCAGGCCCAGGGAAGAAAAACTCTGCGTGAGGGAAAACAACAGGAGTTACACTCCCACCTCCCAGCTGCTTCCGAGGATTCCGGGAAAGATGGAGGCACCAGGCGGGGGACGACTGGGAAAGTCCCCCCGTACCCGGGGACAGAGAGGACAGAACCGCCCCACATCTGCTTCCACCTCCCCACCTGGAAGGACTCAAAAATCGCCCACGAATCGGATTTCCACCCCAGCGAGTCCCAGCAGTGTCGTGGCTCACCGTTGCTGGGGTCTGTGGGGGTCTCCCCTGCCTCGGAGTCCTCCTGCTCCTCAGCGTTGGGATCCTCTCCCTGCTCGATCCGGGACAGCATGTCGGGCTTGGAAATGGCAGCGTCTGCACGGAAAAAGAGGATCAGGATGTTTCCCCCTGCCCTCGTGGGAGAGGAACTCAGAGCTTCGCCCACCAACCTTCCTTCGCTGGGGGACACAAAGAGAGAGGCTGAGGAAGGTGCTCCCACCCGTGTGCACCTCTCACCTTGTGTGGGCCCTGGACTGAGCAATGCAGGAGCACACTCTGCTCAGGTGAGGAGCAACTCCCAGCCTGCACTGTGAGGAGGAGAATAAGAAAATGCATCCGCACTCACCTCCAGGCTTCCTGTCTTCTCCTCCCTAAGATCCATTGCAATGGGGACTTCAGCTCGGGGACAGCACCAGAGCTGTCAGCAGTGCCCTCCCTGTGTGGTTCCCTCCAGCCAGGACCGCTCCTCCTACTCGTCCGAGCCACAGGCTGCTCATGGATTTTGGGAAAGGGGACAATCACCATCTCTCCTCGGGCAGAGAGCGGAAAACTTCATTTCCAGACACGTGTGAGTCTCTGGGGGTTAAATTCCACCCTGCTCTGGTGGATCTGCTGGCCTTATACCAGAGCCAAACCCCATGACCTTGTTTCTCAAAGGAAACCTTTGGATAAAGCACAGACACGTTTTATCTAAGCTCCAGGCTCAGATCCCCAGATCCCCTTCTTTGGGACCGTTATGTTCCCGTGCCTCGGGAGCAGGGCACGGGATTGGTGTGTAAACAGGAGAGTGGGGGGCAGTGTTTACCCCTCACCTTCTTCCCTGGTGCACAGGGACTGCACGAGACCTCTGCTCGAAGAAATAAAGGAAGAAAGGAGGGGAAAAACCAGCACAGAAGGGCTGGACTGGGCAGGGCTGGATGGAGGGAGGTGGGTGAGCCTGCCCTCGGCACAGGGACGGTGTCTGTGCTCCCACCCCCTGTCCAGCCAAGGCAAGGTCATTTCTGAGAACATGTTGTGAAGGCAACGTTCCCCAGAGGGAATTCCCACAGCCAGGACTGGCAGGAGCGAGCGGAGTGCATTCCTTCAGCTGGGAATGCTGTGCCCTGAGCTGCTGAAGGGAAAGCAGAAGGCAGAGCTCGGTCTCGCCTGCAGCTTCTCCCCAGCAACAGATCGAGCAGGACTCGCTCCCTGGGGCCAGACAGAGTGCCCAGGCAGCGCTGGCAAACCTCCTCCTCGTGGAAGGGCCATGGAAAGGGCTGGAAGGACCCTCAGAGGCAGGGCACAGGGCACCCCTCTGCTGCCTGAAGGGGCCAGCAGGCTGATGCACCCAGAGCAGTGGATCTGTGGACCTTGGCATGACAAAGGAACTCCCCTATTCCTCAGCTTTGCTTGGATTGAGGGTCCTCTCACTTCCCCTCTTCCTCCTCCTCCTCCTCCTCACAACCTTGGTGCTCTCCTGGCCACAGGGACCACCAGGGACATCCTTCCACCCTTCCCCTGAGCTGGTGAGGGCTGAACTCACTGCCAGGGCTGTGCAACCCCTTCCCAAAGCAGCACACCATCCCCCTCCCTGCTCCTGCCGGACACGGCGCTGCTTCCATCCATCCACCAGTTCCCGGGAAAAGCTGATGCCCCAGGGGGCTCAGGGCAGACCCCAGCCCGTGGTTACCCATGGAGATGACGGCCTCGTAGTTGCCTTTCATGATGTGCCTGTACAGCTCCTTCTGCCACTCGTTCAGGCTCTTCCACTCCTCCTCCGAGAAGCTGAACGAAGCGTCGTTGAAGGCCACAGGGACCTGCACGGGGAAGCATCAGGGGGTTTGTTTCTTGTTTAAGGAAACACCTGGGGGTGTTTTCTCACTCAGTTCTCTCCTTCAAGCTCCTCAAGCATCACACAGGACAGTCCCAGGCAAGAGCACCTGGCCCTTCCCACGAGCCTCATCCCCCAAGGGGACCCGACAGGGATTTCCCCTGTCCCCTTCTGTCACCTCCCCCCTGCTCAGCCTCCTCATGCCTTCACAGGCTCTTTTACGCCTCATTTTTGACACAATTCGGCTGCTCATCACCTCTGGGCAGGCACCAGGGGTGCACCCAACCCCCCCAGGCACAGGGGGCTGAGCCACACAATTCCACATGAGCTCCCCCTGAGGAGTCTGTGACACCCCCCGCCCCCAGAGCGTTTCGGGAGGATCCCAAGTACATAACGAGGAGAGCCCTCACCCAGGGCTGAAGGAGAGGCACTGCTGGGGGGGAACTGCTGCTCAGCACTGCAGCTGCCCCAAAACGGGGTGGGAGTGCAGGGCTATGGGGCTGGGAGTGCAAGATACGGGTTTGTGAGCTCCAGAAACAGGGCACGGGGCTGGGAGCTCAGGATATGGATCTGTGAGCACAGGGCATGGAATGCAGCCTATGGGGGCTGCGAGTGCTGGGCATGGGGCTGCACAGGGCATGGGGCTCTACAGGGCACAGATGTGGGTCTGTGAGCACGGGGCTGTGAGTGAGGATATGGGGCTGTGAGCTCAGCCAATGGTTCTGTGAGCAGAGGCCACGGGGCTCTAGCCCAGCAGATGTGCAGAGCAGCCCCGTTCTGCAGCAGGGAGCACCGGGGAGCATCGGACCGTTACCTTGGGGACTTCCCCTTTCGCCCCCGGGGGCAGCCGCAGGATCCAGAAGTTCCTGTTCTTGAGCAGGTTCTCCATGTTCTCCAGGCGCTTCTGCAGCTGCCCGTACTCCTGGATGAGGGTACCCAGCGCCGTCCACTTGCTCTCCAGCTGGTTCCCGAACTCCACCGCCGTCTTCTCGCAGCCGATCAGCTTGGTCTCGGCCATCCTCATCCTGCCCTCCAGGTTCATCAGCTGGGCCGCCTGCGTGTCCACCTTCCTGTCCACGGCCTGGATCTCGGTGACGAGCGTCAGGGAGATCTCCGCGGCGGGCAGCTCGGCCTCGCCGCCGGGGCCCTGCTCGGGGGCGGCCAGCGGCTGCTCCAGGCCCAGCTCCTGCGACTCCATCATGCTCTCCAGCTCCTGCGGGGACGGCGCGGCGCTCAGCGCGGGGACGCGCCCGCACCCGCGGCGGCGGGGGGGGCGGGACGCAGGGCCGGGGCGGCGGGGGGAGGTGGCGGGCGGCGGGGGCGGGGAAGGGGCCGGGCAGCGCTTACCTGAGCGGGGGCCCAGTCGGCCATGCGGCGCGGGCGGTGCGGGCGGCGCGGGCGGCGCGGGGCGGGCGGTGCGGGGGGCGCGGGCGGCGGCGGCGGCGGCTCAGCAGCGGCGGGGCGGGGCGGCCATGCCGGGGGCGCGGGGCGCGCTGGGAGCGCCGGCACCGCCGCGGCGCCCCCCGCCGGCGGGCGGACCGCGCGCCCATTGGGCGGGGCGGCGGGCGGACCGCGAGCCCATTGGGCGGGGCGGCGGGCGGACCGCGAGCCCATTGGGCGGGGCGCCGGCAGGGGGCGGGGCCCGCGTCGCGCGCGCTCCCGCCGTCGCCCATGGGGGGACCGCGCGCGGGGCGGGGGCGGCGGCGGCGGCGGCACCGGGAGGGGACGGGGACGGGGACCGGGACAGGTGCGGCACAGCCACCGCGGCCCGACGGGGCTCGCCGCCCCCGCCACGGGCACCGCCCTCGCCGCGGCCCGTCGCCCGTCATCCCGCGCGCCGTCATCCCGGTGCGGCATCGCTGAACCCCCCGCCCACCGGGGAGGCCTCGGCGGGAGCGGGACCGGCAGCGGCACCGGGAGGAGGCGCTCCCGCGCCTCCCCGAGGAGCGGGACGAGGCCGGTGCCATGAAGGAGGACCGCCAGCATCCCGTCGACCTGGGTGAGGCGCCCGATCTATCCCGGCACCGGTCCCGGTGCTGCCGGTCGTGTCCCGGCCATGAGCGCGGCCAGCGCTCACTGGGAACAGGAGGTCACGGGGTGGCTCCGGGGCCACCGCGGGACCATGGACAGCTGTGGTGGGGGATGTGAACACCAGCCTGTTGTGACCAGTTTCATCTCCGGTGGCATCACCGGCCATCCCTCCCCTTGTCTCCGTGACAGGTTACGCCGTCACCAAACCCGACATCCTGGCCGAGGTGGAGCGAGGGGACGAGGTGGTGGAGGTGGCCGTGGGGCACTACGGGGAGCACCAGAGTCCCCGGCCACGTGCGGCACCCGCCGGCCCCTCCCAGGGTGAGCGGGACAGGGGGGCAGATGGGAGTGGGAACAGGGATCGAGTGATGGGTCGGATCCTACCAAGCCATAGCAATCCCGGTGAGGATAGCCCTTCCCCAACGCACTCCTGTCTCCACAGGGGACTGGCTGGGGAAGGAGGTGAAGATTGAGGAGGGGGTGTCCCCACCCCCCTGCTCCCCCCCGGCCCACCACACGGGCCACACCGAGTTCCTCGTCCCGCTGCGGGAGCGAGGCTGCAGCTACTGTGGCGTCGCTGAGCCGGAGCTGAATGCCGGTGCGGGTACCGGGGGGTTCATCACCTCCCTCCCCGCCTTCGAGAGCCGCCGCTGCCGGGCAGGGGAACCGCTGCCGGAGTGCCCCGATTGTGGCCGGGGCGTGGGGCAGAAGCCCGACCTGGTGCGGCACCGGCTGGCACGCGGTGTGGAGCGCGGCTACGCCTGCGGCCGCTGCGACAGAGGCCTCGCCGAGCCGGCGGGGCTGGGGGCCACGGGCAGCACCCACCGCCCGGCTCCCTGCGCCGGCCGCGCCCCGGGAACGGCCGAGGGGGCCGCGGCGGCGCCGCGCAAGGAGCGCAAGGAGCTGTCGCTGACGGAGAAGGTACGGGTGCTGGAGATGCTTGAGGGCCCCAAGGTGTCGCAGAGCGAGCTGGCCAAGCGCTTCGGGGTGTCGCAGCCCCAGATCTGCCGCATCATCAAGAACAAGGAGCGCATCCTGAGCGAGTGGCAGCGCAGCGGAGACCCCGAGCGCAAGCGCAAGCGGGAGGGCAAGGACGCGGCGCTGGAGGCCGCGCTGCTGCGCTGGGTGGAGGGTGCCCGCACCGCCGACCTGCCCGCGGGCCGCCCGCTGCTGCAGCTCAGGGCCAAGCAGCTGGCAGGGGCGCTGGGCCGGCCCGGGCCCGAGCCCGGCGGCGGGTGGCTGGCACGTGTCGCGGCCTTCAAGAAACCGCCGGCAGAGAAGGGGGACGCGGAGCAGCCGCCGGCGGAGCACTGGGCCGGCACGGTGCTACCCGCGCTCCTCCGCGGCTACGCGCCCTCCGAGATCTTCTCCTGCGGGGAGGCTGCGGTGCCGCTCCCGGCCGGCTGCCCCGGCAAGCGGCTCACGCTGCTGCTCTGCGCCAACGCCAGCGGCTCCAAGAAGGTGCCGCTGCGGGCGCTGGGGGAGAGCCCCCGGCCGCGCTGCCTGCGCGGCGTCAACCTGGAGCAGATGCCGTGGAGTTACCGCGCCGGCAGCCCGGGCGGCCTGACCGCGCCGCTCTTTGCCGAGTGGCTGCAGGAGTTCAACGAGGGGATGCGGCGGCGGGGCAAGAGGGTCCTCCTGCTCCTCGCCAAGCACGAGGCGCACCCCTACCTGCAGCTGTCCAACGTCAGGATGGTCTTCGTCCCTCTGGCCGCCGCCCTGGCACAGCCCCTGGACCGCGGCATCGCCGGCGACCTCAAGGGCCACTACCGGCGCCGGCTGCTGCGGTGGCTGCCGGTGGAGCGCGGCGCGGGCCAGCCCACCCTGCTGGACGTGCTGCACATGCTGGCGCAGGCCTGGGGAGACGTGTCCCCGGGGCTCATCGCCAGCTGCTTCCGTGCCGCCGGCTTCTTTCCTGACGCCGGTGCCGAGGCCGCGTCCCTCAGCCCGGCACACGGGGCGCTGGGCCGGGAGCAGCCGGAGCGTGGCGGGGAGCCGGCGGGGGCGGACGGGGACGAGGGGATGGTGGAGGGCGAGGATGCGGCAGAGCTGGCGGCCGTGCCGCCCTGCCCCTCGGAGCGGGAGGTCTGGAGGAGCCTGGCCACGCTGCGGCGGTACCTGGAGTGCCAGGCCACCTCGCCAGACCTCTTCCAGGCCTTCTACGAGCTGGAGGACGCGGTGCACATGGTGTCGGCTGGTGCTGGGCGAGCCCTCCGTGGGGACACCCCTCCCAGGCAGTGAGGGGGGCGGCCGGCCCGTGCCCAGAGCCGCTCGTGCTCGGTGCTCCCTGGATCTGTCACCGGCCCGGCCTGGCCACCGTCCCCTGCAGTTGTGCCGTGGGGTTTGCTGTGGTTCTACGTGGCCCCGTGGGGTCACCGTGCGTGGGGGCTGCGGAGCTGCCATGCTCTGGGTGTCACCCATGGGGCAGTGCCAGGGGCACAAACCTGATTCCAGAACCTTCTCCAGAGGGGTGGCTGCTGCAGCCAAAGGGAACGGGCGTGGAGCTGCTGCCGGCGAGGATTTGCCCTGAGTGGGGTAGTTGTGTTTGTTGTGGGGGTATGTGGGGTGGTGCTGGGGTGTCCCCGTGCTAGGGACAGTGGCTCCTTCCCACAGAGGGAGGAGGTGCCACCCGCTGCTGTCACCACGTGGTGCCCGGAGGTAACAGGCATTAAAAGACTGGAATTCAGTGAAGTGGAGCACGGCTGGTTGGTGTCGTATTTTACCATCACATCTGCTGGGACCACCCCAAACCCAACCCCAAACCTCCCCTTCCCTTTCCCTGCCCTGAGGACACTGTTGCTGCTCCTGGACCCCCACAGCACCCAACCTGTGCCATCTTCCCCCCGGTGCCAGGCAAGCAGCACCCAGGGAGGGAGGGATGCATTTGTGGGGTGCAGCAGGGGGATCCCCACAGATGGGAAAGTGCTGGGATGCAGGGGGAGATCCCCACAGGGATGCACAGTCACAGGTGGGCAAGCAGGACCTGGAGGGGGGAAAATGCAGTTATGGGGTGCATTGGAGAACCCCCAGGGGGATACATCATCATAGGGATAAACTCAGCACCCCTGAGGGAGAGGGGGAGGCAGGGACGGGGTGAAATAGGAGGGGAACCCCACAGGGATACACCACCACAGGGATACCCGCAGCCCCCCGGGGGGTGGGACTCAAGGATGGACCATCCCGGCGAGATTCCAACCGGGATGCACCACCACGGGGATACACAGAGCATCCAGGAGAGGGTGAGGGGGGATGCAGGGGCAGGGCGCACGGGGGATCCCCACGGGGATACACCATCGCGGGGGTACCGCAGCGCCCTCGGGCGTGGGACGCAGCGACAGGGGTGCCCGGGGTGATCCCCGCGGCGGTACCCGCAGCCCCCTCGGGGGCGGGATGCAGGGATGCCCCATCCCGGGGGGATGTCCCCCGTCCCCCGCCGCCGTCCCCGCCCCCCGTCCCTCCACGGCGGGACCACCAGGGGGGGCCCACGGGCGGCTCGGTCGCGCAGGGCCCGCGCCGGCGCTCGGAGGAAATGAAGGCGAGTTCCGCCGAGGCGGGAGCCATTACCCGCCGCCGGACCTGAGCCCCCCCTCCCGCCGCCGCCGGGGCCCCGCCGCCGCCCCCCGCCCCACAGCTCGCCCCGGCACAGGTAAGCGATGCCCCGGGCCGGGGGGGCTGCGGCGCGGGGGGAGGGCTGGAGCAGGGCCGGTGCCTGCCCCGCGCCCCCCCACGAGTGGGATCCCGAATGGGGGTGGGGGGGTGTCCGCCGGGCAGGCACCGGCCCCGCCGCTTTGTCCCCGGGCAGAGCAGCGCGAACAAAGCCGAGGGGGTGCCGCTCGCAGCCCCCCCGCCCCATCCCCCGGGGCGCCCCGAGGCCGCGGGGGTGGGCGCTGCCCTGGGCTCGGGGGGCTCGGAGGGGGCTGGGGGCTTGGCAGGGGCACGGCGGGGCTGGGGGGCTTTGCGCGGGGTCGGCGCTGTGCTCCTGGGGGGCGGTGGGGGGCCGTGGGAGGTTGGGGTGGGCGCCCTGGTGGAGGGCTTTGCTGCGGTCCCGAGGTCCTCGCCGGGAGCCGGAGGGGTGCATTGCTGGCCCGGGTGTGCACCGTGACCCCTGGCCCAGGTGTGCATCATAGCCAAGGTCTTCTTCATGGCTTTGCAGCACTTGCCACGGCCAGGGTTCCTGATGTGGTCCCGAGGTCCTCACGGGGAGCTTGGGGTCTTCACCGTGGCAGGGGACTTTGCTGTGGTGGCCCCAAGGTCCTCACTGGGAGCTGCAGGTCTTCACCATGGCCAAGGTCTTTGCCACGACCCTGGGGTCCTCATGGGGGGCTTGAGGTGTTCACTGTGGCCAAGGCCTTCAGCGTGGCCAAGGTTTTTGCCGTGTCCCCAAGGTCCTCATGGGGATCTTCAGGTGTTCACCGAGGCCAAGGCCTCCGCCATGGTCTTTGTCGTGGCCTAGCAACACTTGCCGTGGCCTTGCTTATTGCCATGGTGCCAAGATCCTCTCTGGGAGCTCGAGGTGCTCACCATGGCCAAGGCCTTCCATAACGCCTGTGCCGTGGCCTCGAGGCTCTCACCATGGCTCTGGGCTTCACCGTGACCCCGAGGTCCTCACCGGGAACCTGAGGTGCTCACTGGGCACTTGATGTTCTCACCATGGCCAGGACCCTTGCCAAGGCCTGCCTTGACCGAGGTCCTCGCCGTGGCTGTGAGGTGCTCCCCGTGGCCAAGGCCTTGGCATGACCCAGTGACCTGTCCTTAAGGTCACGGTCAGTGCCGTGGCCTCGAGGCCCTTGCTGGGAACCTCAAGCGCTCCTCACGTCCAAGGCTTTCCCCGTCATGGTCAACATTGCCATGAGACCCTCACCGTGGCCGTGAGGTGCCCCCCACCACCCTCAGCCTGGCCCTGAGGTGCTCCTCGGCACCCTCTGAGGCAGCCGCAGCACGTGCTGCGGCCAAGGCGTTCACCACGACCCCTCACCACGGTCCCAGTGCTCTCCACGGCCACGTCCCTCTCCGTGGCCCCCGTGGCAGCTGGCTGGGGGCTCCCGGGTGCCTCTGCTTGGAGAGAGCCGGGGGCCCCCTCGCCGTCACCCCGCGCTGCCACCACCCACCGCTGCCCTTTCCTTTTCTCCCCTCCCAGGTGCTCCCGAGCCGGGGCGAGGGGATGCGGTGCGCCCGCGCCGCGTGCTGTGCCGAAGCGGCTCTTTAGATCCTCCCCGGCCCGAGTCTCCCATGCCATGGATGCCTCCGGGGCTCTTGCTTCGGCTCCCTCCTCCGCGGCTCCCTCGGGCTCCCGCAGCCCCCTGTTCCCCCCCGGAGCCGACAGAGAGGAGTGGGGACCGAGGTTCAATTGTGCCCCTTCCACCTCTGCCGCAGCCTCGCAGGCGATGCCAGCGTCTGGCCGGAAGAGGAAGGCCAACTTCTCCAATGACGAGACCGAGACGCTGGTCTGGAATGTGGTCCGGCATTTCAGCGCCCTGTACGGGTCCGAGGCCCTGCGGGCTCACCCCGTGCGGCGGAAGCAGCTCTGGACCCAAATCCAAAGCCGCGTCAACTTCCTGGGCTACACCGAGCGCTCCATCGACGACCTCAAGCACAAGTGGCGCGACCTGCGGCTGGACGTCAAGAAGAAGATCACCTCCAAGAAGCACCTGCCCATGAACCGCGCCGGGGGGCCGCTCCACAAGCCGCGCCTCACGCCCCTGGAGAAGATGGTGGCCTCCACCTTCCTGCAGGCCAGCCACGACTCGGAGCCCGAGATCATCCTGGACCCGGGTCAGTGGCGCTGGGGCTCCGGGCACGGGGGGGGGTTGGAGCGTCGGCGTTCCCACTGCGCTCCGCAGGGGAGGTCTGGCGTTTGCCGAGTGTCGGTGTCCCGTGATGGATTCTGGAAGGAGGCTTCGGGGCTTGCGTTGGGATTACGGCACCCGGCAGAGCCGTGGTCCTGTTGAGCCCAAGTACCAAACTGCCAGGGGTGGGAACTGAATGTGCCGGGATTAACAACCCACTGTGGAAATAACCCGGGATCAGCGAGTCATAGAAGTCATGGAATGGTTTGGGGTGGAAGGGGCCTTAAAGCTCGTCTTGTTCCAGCCCCCTGGCAATCATCAGGGACACCTTCCACTATCCCAGGTTGCTCCAAGCCCCATCCAACCTGGCCTTGGACACTTCCAGGGATGGGGCAGTCACAGCTTCTCTGGGCAACCTGTGCCAGATCAATAGGATCAGCAGGAACTTCTCAAACTTTGCAGAAGCATGTCTTTTTTGTTCTTCTTTCTTTAATTTGGTATTCTTTGACCTCAGTGTGGCCCCTCTGATTCCACTGGGGGCATTTCAGGGCTTGGTCAACGTGGACCAGACTTGGGTGTCTCTGATCCAGGCATGCATCATTTGCCAAGCAGGAGGTCTCTAGGCTGAAGGAAGTCCTATGGAGTGGCTGGAGCTGTGCCAGGGCAGGGTTAGGTTGAATATCAGGAAAAGGTTCTTCCCCCAGAGGGTGGTTGGCACTGAACAGGCTCCTCAGGGCAGTGGGCACAGCCCCAAGGCTGCCAGAGCTCCAGGAGGATTTGGACAGTGCTCCCAGGGACAGGGTAGGATTATTGGGATGTCCTATGCAGGGCCAGGAGTTGGACTGGATGATCCTTGGGGGTCCATCCCAACTCAGGGTATTCCATGATCCCATGATCTGTGATTCTGTGGCATTAAAGGTTGCCACCCCTGAGGGTTCAGGGTGGTGCTGGGGAGGTGATGGTGATGGTGACCCCACGGGACGGCCGTACAGGGCGTCTGTGCCTCAGTGCCACCATGTCCCCCCGAGCTGAGGCCGGATCCCGTGTGTCCCACAGATCTGTTCTTCCCTGGCGCCTCCAAGCAGCCCTTCATGCACCTGCAGCCTGGCGTGAGCCACCCCAGCATCTACATCGACACCAACGGGCAGCCCTCGGCCCTGCCGGACGTGGAGGGCTCGGCCGCGCCGCGGCTGCCGGGACAGAGCCCCGACCCCGCCGGCGGCACCGACTACGGCCGAGGAGAGGGGCAGGGCGGCTCTGGTACGTGGGAGTGAGCTGGGGGGATCTGCTGGGAGTGGGGTTTGGGTGGAGATCCTCTGGGTCTGGGTGGAGATCCGCTGGGAGCAGAATCTGGATGGAGATCACGGGGTCAGGATGGAGATCTGCTGGGAGGGGGGTCTGCATGGAGACCACGGGGTCAGGATGGAGATCTGCTGGCAGCAGATTTGGTTGCAGATCCACTGCCAATGGAGTCACGATGGAGATCCACTGGGATTTGTGTGTCGGTGAGGGCCCAGGGGCTGGAGCCAGGGCTGGGTCTCACCAGAGGTTTCCTCTTCTCTTCCAGCCGAGTCGGGGCCGGAGCTGCGGACTCCAGACGTGTCGGCCATCTCCCCATCCCTGCGGAACGAGTCCCTGGTCTCCTACGCCTCCATGTCGGAGGAGGAGGAACGGGAAGGCCGGGAGGTGGAGCGTGGCCACGGCGGGGCCGCGGGGATGCAGCCGGGGCCCGAGGCCCCCATGTCTGCGGAGGAGGACATGAAGCTGTCCCGCCAGGCCATGCTGATCCGCCGCTGCAGCTCCCAGGGCTCCGTCACCTCCCTGCCCGAGGACTCCCTGAACCCCGCGGACGCTCACTCGGACTGGGGGCACGAGGGGGTGTCCGACCTGCCCGCCCTGGGCCGCGGGATGGACTCTGCGCATCCCGAGGAGCAGGCGGGGGGCCCGGGCCCGGAGATGGGCGCCTTGCCCAGGGTACTGATGGGGCCCACCTGGGAGAAGGCCCCGGCGGACGAGGAGCCCCCGGCCCGTTCCCCGCTCCACGGCGCCCTGACCGAGGAATCGC